AGTTTGTTTACAAAGTTCACAATTTAAGCCTGACAAGCTACTAAGTTTAATGTGCTCCCAGCTATATGTAAGTCAACGACATCCAGAAATGAGTATGTGCTAAGAAAAACATGTGCAGACCACACAGCACAGAACACATAAAGGACTCCTTTAGCGAAGCCAGTGACTCTCACCTAACTGCTGGACCTTTGAAAGGAGAGGGAAATTTCCATTTGCTGCTATGTTCCCTATGTGTTTGCATGGCAGTACCACTGGAATAACAACTGAATTATGGAAACTGCAATGGTATACATAGTACTTTGCAACTTGCGCAGAGATGGTGGTAAAAATGTCATGACATATTGTGAGGTTGTAACTGATGCTGCCAAATGCAAACACCAAAATCAAGGCTATTATGAAACTCAAGTTGTTACTTGAAGCCTGAGAAGCTTTTTGATCTTTTCTCTATGATCTATACAAAGCAAACAAACCAGTTACATTTCTTGCAATGCTGAAAACAGCAAAAAGGTCCATTAATCATTATTAGAAAAATTATCTTAATGAAAACATTCATAGTGGAGGCAGCAGATCAGTCTCTGTTTTTGACCTTCTTCATGAGAAGCACCAGATTCATACATTCTTAGAAGATGTTCTAAATTACAATCTCAGAATTTACATGTTTTTTAAATGCTCATATAGCTAAAATTTTGATTTTGAGGTTAAATTCAGATGTATTGGTAAAATTGCACCGTATGCAAATTAATAAATTAATTACTAATGAATAAATGCAGAGTGGTTTATAAACACATAGTGAAAGAAAAAGGTGAATTAAGAGGAAACACTCACTCCCCCAAGCAGTCTAGGCCTACTGCAGCGTAACTAAAGGGGGATTCAGGGTAACCTGATCCAACTGTAACTATATGCTTCAGCAGAAAGAAAAGTCCTAAGCCTAACCTTAAAAGTAGAGCAAATTTTTGTCTCTGGAACCCAAACTGGGAGAAATATGTTCTCTTTCTAGTACCCTTTCTGTACACATTTTGGATGAACTGAAGGCTTTTAGAACAGCCCGATAATAATGGTCCATAGCAGTCTAGCTTAGAAGTAATAAATGCATGAACCAATTTTTCAGCATCACTCTGATTCAGGATGTTTCTAATTTTGGAGATATTGCACAAATGCATGAAAGCAGTCCTACATATTTGCTTAATATGCACATTGAACTGTATTCTGGTCAAAAATAACTCCAGGATTCCTCACATTGTTATTGGGGGCCAAGGTCGTGTCATCCAAGGTATCTGGTTTGACACAGTTTTTGGGGCTGAGTACAGTAATCTCACTTTTTATCTGAATTTAGACGCAGTTTCAGTCAAATTTGAAAGTGTCAGTTTTGGAGCAAGGGTTACTTTCTTGGTCGCCACCCTTTTGTCCGTGGTGAAAAATCACTTACTGCGGACAGTGACATTGGTGTTCCAGCATTTCGTGGCAGGGTTAAGCATTGGTGGTTCCTGAAAATCATTTGAGGCTGACAGTCTACCAGACCTTGGCAAAGTGGAGACACATTCAAAACACTCGTATTTATGTGCAGTTGTTTGAACTAGAAATGGCTCCAAGACACCTTCCCAACTTGTGTAAATCTACAATTTTGCTTGTTAGATCTTCACCTTAAGGTATTATGACATCTATGCCCATAATCAGTGTATGTAAACTTCTGAGTTTTACATGATAAAGGTCTAAGCACCAAAAAGTTTAGTGCAAATAACAGGACAGTGACTTGAAGGTAAAAATGAAGGTATGCATGACAATATCCAGCCAGTGTTAAATGTACTGTTTTAGTATTGAATTTCCAATCATCCCATTTCTTTCACGTTTAAATTGCTAATTTGTTCTTCTTGGTTTATGGCACAATATTGTACTAAAACGATGCAATGATCATTACTTTTTGGCAGCATAAGAAACAGAAATTAACCTACAGTTGAGTAATATAAAGCGTGCCATTTATCCCAAACATATAGGATTTAAAGGTTTAAAGAATGGAGTCCCAGAGAAAATGCTGTGTAACATTTTTATTTAAATAAACTCATCTGACTAAAACGCCAGAATCAACACCAAGTTAGAAAACATTCAAATAAAAATAATAATCCATGACAGAAATAGCTAATCATGATACATCTTTACATTCAAATATTTAACAACAGTAACGATACAGATTATTATTCCTCACACACTTTCATTCTTTAACATACACACGCATACACACACACACACACACAGGCACACACACACATACTTATTTAAAGCCACAGGTTTATCCCTCTAAAGTCAGTGTGTATGTACGAGATGTTATGCTACATGTCATTGATTTGGACATACAAGGAATAAATAAATGTTGGCAACAGACTACAAAGTCATTCCTAAGTTTCTACTGGCATGAAGCTAAACTTTGTTCACCCTTCAGTGGTTTGCTGTTGTCATGTTGAATCAATACTTTACGTAAGAAGATCACAGCATTGGCACACACATGTTAAACTTTCACTTACAGAAACGACATTATCTGTGTTTTTGCATGTCTGCTTGCTACATTTTATTTGTGGTTTATCCCTCCAAAGGATGCTGCATTTTTTTTTTTATTGCGTTTTTCCCCATATCTGGTGAGCACAATGGAAACATCGTGAATGCTTTTATTTATCATTAAGCAATTTTGTTCAAGCAAAGCTGCAATGCATTACCAGCCAGCAACAGCATAACTCTGGCAGCAAGAGAGGCAGACACGATGTTAACTGTAATGGATCACCGACCTACACACTGGAGCAAATTAGTATTGGTGGTTGTATGTAAGGCAGGAAAAACACATTAAATACAACATCAGCACGGTGGAAAATGCACGTGTTAATGTGAATGGGCCATGCAAAAACACTGAAACACATTTTACTCGAGAAAATGTGTACGTTTATAATGTGCTGACACACACAAACACGTATTTAGTGTGCAAATCGGGTTTGCACACAGTGACAGAAAACCCATCCTGACAAATCCCAACTGTTAGTATGAAAAAAATGGTACGTTTCTAATAGTTTGCGTGTTCACAGTGGCCCACTCAGAAGTAGTCTCTTCTCCTTGAATCATCACTGATGAAAGATGGGTTCCACTGGGCTGGGTAGATGCATGAATGGCGAGAGCCTGGGAGACCCGGGAAGGGGTACAGGCCATTTCTGTCCAGGTCTGAGTTACGCAAGGCAGGCTGAGGGAAATAACAGAGGAAACAAAAAAAGGACTTTATCATCAACCACACACACAGAGAAACGAAGCCTTAACTTAAACAAGAGACAGAGACGTGTGAGAAGCGAGAAATGACATGTTCCCTTACAGAGTAGTAGATATCAGTCATCTGTAGCAGGTTTTTTGTGCTGCCGTTCTCTTGCATCTCTATTGTCTCTCTCCCCCACTCCATGGATATCCGGTTATTTTTAGGGAAGTCTGCGTACGGGGACATCTGCAAGTCTCCACTTTTAAAGATGATCTTATTGATGTCATTTTTGTCTTTCCTGAAAGATTCCACATTGAAAAAACTTAAACTTGATGGGTTTTTGTTTATAAATATAGCCTGTATATAAAAGATGGATGTAGCCACCATGATGGAAGTCTCTACTTGAGTATTTTTCCTTTTTTTTCTTAAACTCAGATGTCATGAGGATCTAGTATTCCCTGAATTTTGTGCTTCTCTGACTCTAAATAGGGCCAGAAAACATCATGTTGTACATAAGACTTGAAACATGTGAATTTCACCATAAATTCATCAAGAATATACCTGCTGAGGTTATAAATTGAGCAGACAGACTTTTTGCAATAGGAGGCCTCACCTCCTATTAATCATTAAAAGAGTGTTATTTTATGGCACTTCCACATTAAGCCCATCTTTTACATACAGATTGGGTTTATAATATAAAATAATATTATCGGGCAATATTCATTACATTTACTTTCTTGAATTAACAATAAAGCAAACTTACTTGCAGCAAGTGACAATGAGAGCAATGACAAGGATGAGGAGCAGGGCGCCCCCTGCAGGTGAC